GCTGGCTGGAGGGAGGGGAGCCCTCGGAGCCGTGCCCTCCCCCACCCCAATCTGTCGCCCGGCCCCCACTCGAGCGCCTCCTGGCTCCTGTACCCCGGTACCCTCGGCACCCCTCGGATCGCTGTGTCTCTGACTGTGACTCTGGTTCAATGCCCAAACTTTGCACTCGGGGGCGGGGACCCAGCCAGCCGTGCACGGGGAAGCTGGGTGTCTCCGAGGCCGCCCCGAGTCTTGACTTTTCTCTCGGAGCCTCTTAATCTCTCTGTCTCTGTCTCCCCCTGGGGGTGTCGCTCTCGGTGGCTGCTCCTCCCCGTGGATTCCTGGCGCGCGCCCGCTCTCTGGTGGGTGGGTTTTTCGTTCCTGGTCTCTGAGCGTTTTTCTTGCTCTGTTTTCTCCCATCTGCGTCTGTCACTCATCCTGTGGGTCTCTCTGGGCCTTGGGTGGGGGCCGCTCCCTAAATCCTCCCTCTCTCTCTCTCTACCTGTCTTTGCAAATGCCTCCCTCTCTCTCTACCTGTCTTTGCAAATGCCTCCCTCTCTCTCTACCTGTCTTTGCAAATGCCTCCCCCTCTCTCTACCTGTCTTTGCAAATGCCTCCCTCTCTCTCTACCTGTCTTTGCAAATGCCTCCCTCTCTCTCTACCTGTCTTTGCAAATGCCTCCCTCTCTCTCTACCTGTCTTTGCAAATGCCTCCCTCTCTCTCTACCTGTCTTTCCCCTCTCTCACCTGTCTTTGCAAATGCCTTGGTCTCCGTCTCTGAGTGTCTCTCTGTCTCTCGGTGACTGGGTGTCTCTGTCAATCACCCCCGCTGTGTCTTTCTCTAGGAGAGTTCATTTCTCTCTCAACCCTAGCCATCTTTTTTCTTTTTCTTTTTTAAGATATTTCAAAGAAGGGAGAGGGAGAGAGAGAGAAACATCAATGATGAGAGAGACTCATTGACTGGCTGCCTCCTGCACGCCCCACACTGGGGATCCAGCCCGCAATCCGCGCATGTGCCCTGACTGGGAATCGAACCCGGGACCTCTTGGTCCATGGGACGAGCTCAATGCACCGAGCCAGCCGGTCTTGGTAAATGCATTTTGCCTCAGTCCCTCAGTTCGCCTGCTTGACTCTTCCTCTCTCCCTGCGGTGCCTCTCCTAACCCAATCCCTCCTCTGTTCCTGGGGAGCGGGGGTCTCGCTCCCTCTCGCCCCCCATCTTTGTCCCTTTCTCGCCCGCTTCTGCTTGTGTCTCTGACTCTATGAATCTCTCTTTGCACCTTGGAGTGGGGTCTCTCCCTCCCTCTTGCTGCGATTCAGTCCCTGTCCCTCTCGGCTCTGGAGTTCTCTGCGCAGCTGTTCGAGGGTTTTTGTGGGGGGACGGGGGGGGGTCTCTCCGAACTTGAACGTCGGCCCTGCGGGTCTCCTCCTGCCGCCACCGCCCCGCCGGCCCCGGGCCCCTCCACCTGTGTCCCTCTCTGGTCGGGCTCCTTCCCTCCCGCCAGCTCGCGCTGGGAGCCCCGCTGTTGCCAAGGGCAACCACGGCCCCGCCCTCGGCTGCGGGGCGCAATGCATCCTGGGACTCGTAGTCCAAGCCTGCGGACCGCCTGTTTTCACTACGCGGCGGAGAACTTCCTCTCCCGGCATGCTCCGCGAGGCGGAGCGGGGCGCTGGGACGGCACCTGGGGACGTGGGGCGCCCACCGCACTTGGTTTTGGGACTTTTGGGGGTCGGGGTCCGCCTTCCCGAAGCCGAAGGGGAGGGGAGAGAATCCGAGTCCGCTCCCAATGCCCCCAACGTGGGATCCTCTGGCCTTCCGGCCACCCCAGGTCCGCCGTGCCCCAGAGCAGATGGGGGTGGGGGTGGCCCTGAAAACTGACCTCGGAATCCCACCGCGCTCGGCCCCAGCGCCCCCGGAGTCCTCCCCGGTCGTCTACGTCTCACCCCCGGGTTTTAGAGCGAGTCTCTCCGGCGCCTGCCAGGAGGGGTGCAAGCATGGGGTGCGGGTGGGGAGGAGACCTCTTTGGAGACGCGGGGGTTGGTACAGGTCAGTCCGGGGGTGGACACTGCAGAGATCAGAAGAAGCCATCCCTCACGTAAAGGGGTGCCCCTGTTCCGGTCAGCCCTCCCCCCTCTTCCGGCGAGACCCTCCCCACCTTTGCAACTTCTCTTCCCAGCCGCTTTGCAGGTGTAGGTGCGGGACCTGGGTGGCACGGCCCTGGAATTTCCCGGGATTTCTACGGCGCTGATAATGCTCCTCGGGCTGGAGAAACCCGCAGGATGACCTGCTGTGGGACAAGGACTCCTTTGATCTTGTCCAGAGGTCGCCGTTCGCCAGGTGTGGCTGGGGGCTCGGGTCTGAGAGCGGGGATGTGGGCAGGGTCACCCTGGAGGCCTTGAATGCCGGGCTGAGCGGCTTTGGTATTATCCAGGGGCAAGGCGGGATGGGATATGGAAGGATGTGTGCAGGGGAGGGCAGGATCCCACCTGAATGTTAAAGGAGCCCCCCCAAGGCCAAGGGGGGTGGGGGGGGGGGGGGGGGACGGACAGGAGGGTCAGGGAGGGGGCTGGGTCAGGAACCTGGAGCAGGGGACAGGTACATATAGAATGTAGGGTCCCAGCCGGTGTTGCTCAATGGGTGGAGCGTGGGCCTGCAGACCAGCCCGATGAGTCCCAGGTTCCATCCCAGTCAAGGGCACATGCCCAGGTTGCAGGCTCCATCCCCAATAGGGGGCATGCAGGGGGCAGCCTATCAATGATTCTCTCTCATTGAGGTTTCTCTCTCTCTCCCTTTCTTGAAACCAATAAAAAAATGTATTAAGAAATAATTTTAAAAAAAAATAAAATGTAAAAAAAAATAACATGTAGGAGGGAGAATAGGCAGAGTTTGGTTAGCAACTGACTGACTGACAGAGGGAATCTGGAGAGCCAGAGAGATGCACGCAGATTAAGACGCTGAATTTCCCAGGTGCTCATGGGACTCCAAGGATGGAGGCATCTTGTTCATGTCCTTCTTTTTTTTTCTTTTAAATAGATTTTTATTGATTTCAGAGATGAAGGGAGAGAGAAACATCAACGATGAGAGAAAAGCATCGATCCTCTGCCTCCTGCACGCCCCAATTGGGGATCCAGCCCGCAACCTGGGCATGTGCCCTCACTGGGAAATCGAACCGTGACCTCCCAGCTCATATGTCAACGCTCACCCACAGAGCCACACGGGCCCGGCGAGTCTTGTTCGTTTCTATCCTAACTAGCTCTCCTGGCTTGAGAGAGTAATTTGGAAGTCCCAGACTCAACTAGTATTTTTCTGAGGAGGCCAAACTTGTCTCGGCCCCACCCCGTTTCTCCCATCAGACCCAGGAACCTGGGCCTCGCCCTGCCTCCCGGAGCCTTCCCCAGTAATAAAGCAAGCACAAGCCTTCCTTTTATCTTTATATTGAGGTAAAAAATAAAATAAAGAACATTATGAATGTGGGGGTCAGGGGGAGGGACAAGGCTTCCCTCTCTAATTGACAGCAGGGGCTGATGGGAACCAGAAGCTCCAGGGAATTTAAAAAATAAAATAAAATATGTATTTATACATGTATATATATCATGTTAGGCGTGTGAGTCCCAGAGAAGCAGGAAACGGCGGCAGGAAGTGACTAAGCACACAGAAACATGTGTGTGTCTCACACACTCAAGCAGTGCAATTCCTCTACGGCGGTAGCAGTCCCCACCTATCCAACCCACCCACAAACAAAAAAAAAAAAAAAAGGAACTCTTCCCCTTTAAGAAGAGGACCACCCAGTATTTGTTGCCCTTGTGACAGGAAGAAAACAAAAAACCCAGGCCTCCCAGCAAAGGCGGCACATGCTCTTTTCAATACTGAGGCCGGAGCCCCATGTTCCTGCCCTCCCCCCCCACCAATACTGCAGACAGCTCGGTACCCAGAAAGTAGTCAGGAGGGAAGGCAGCCACCGTCCTTGGGTCCCTTAAAGACAGCCCGTGGGCAGGGGGTTTTGGTAAGCCTGGCAAAAATTCTGGGGAGACTGGATGCCAGGTGGGGCCCAAGGACCCAGGGTCTGTGATGTGAGCCTCCTGCCCATCCTCCTCTATAATAAAGAGCTAATATGCTAATTAGGCTGGACCGGGCTGGATGACCTGGACGACGACCTTCCTGAATGACCAGTGGCTGGGGCAGCCAGGGCTGCGAGGGCCCAGCCCTTTGCACGAATTCCGTGCGTCGGGCCTCTAGTTGGAAATAACTGACCTCCAGGGATTTTTTATTTTTTACTTAAAGGGGAGGCTTTACTATACACCCCCTTCCACTGCGAGAAAAGGGTCCCCCTTGCTAGCTACCCTCCCACCCCTAGAACACACACACACACATACACACCTACTAAGGCACAGCCAGCGTGGGCACATGCTTTGGCAATGAGGCCCCGCAGGGGGGCTGGGGTCTAACCAGCTGCTATGTGGGGTGTGGGGTGTGGAGCTCAGCACCTTTGGAGTTGGGGTGGCAGTGGGGGGTGACCAAGAAGTCCCAGGGCTCCCGGGGAAAGCGGAAGAAGGGAAGTGGGAAGAAGTGGCACAGGAAACAAGGCAGGCGAGAAAGCAAACAGGGCGGATCGCCAGGAGAGAATTGACGACGACGAGGGAGGAAAGGAGAGAGAGAGTGAGGAGAGAAAGGCAACACAGGGTGTGGGCAGCCAAAGACGCAGGAAGGGACGGGGACAGAGAGTACAGGACGCAGGGGTGGGGGGGCAGCAGGGGACAGAAATGGGAGAGGAGCCCCAGGGGGGAGGACATTGGAGGAGATCGGAACCCGGTAGAGACACCCCCACAGAGAAGAGGGCGCCGGGAGCTCCGGGACAGCCCCTCAGACCCTGACAAAGACCAGGCGGGCCGAGTACACCAGGTCGGCCACGTAGGCCAGCAGGTTGATGGCCGTCAGAATGGCCACGGCCAGGCGGCGGTCCCAGCCGCACACGTACTGGATGTGGCTGTTCCTGCAGCTGCTCTTCAGACAGAAATGGGAGAGGAGCCCCAGGGGGAGGACATCGGAGATCAGAACCCAGTAGAGACATCCTCTCAGAGAAGAGGGCATCGGGAGCTCCGGGACAGCCTCAGACAAAGACCGGGTGAGCCGAGTACACCAGGTCAGCCACGTAGGCCAGCAGGTTGATGGCCGTCAGAATGGCCACGGCCAGGCGGCGGTCCCAGGCGCACACGTAGTTAACGTGGCTGATACTGCAGAGGGAATCCCTCCTGCGCTCGGGGAAGCCGCCGTACCTCTCGTTGAACTGGTAGAGAGGCCAGAGGACCATGGCCGAGGCGTAGAAGAGGACGGAGAGCAGGGCCAGGCCGGACAGGAAGCTGGGGAAGGGGATGGGCAGCGCGTTGGTGAAGTCGAACAGGTTCATCAGGAAGGCCACGGTGGCCAGGATGAAGCAGATGGCGTAGACGGCCACGCACCACTCCAGCGCCGGCCTGTTCTTGTACAGGTAGGGGTCGCTGATGAAGGCGAAGATGATGCAGGCCACGAAGGTCTCCACCACCTTGAGCAGGCCTGGCACGGTAGCCATGTAGCCCGTGATCTCGCCGGGCCGGGCCCGGGTCCAGGCCACCTCGGTGGCGTACGCCACACACGCGATGCAGGAGAAGGCGGTGGCGGCGATGGCGTGGTCCCTGGTGCGGCCGTGGCTCAAGAACTGGACGTAGGTGGTGGGGTAGATGATGGAGGCCGAGAGGCAGAAGAGGGCGGCGTAGCAGGCGTAGGTGATGGGGAAGTTGCGCCAGGACAGCGGGAAGCGGGCCTGGAGCCCGCCCAGCTCCACCACGATGATGATGAAGGTCACGGCGAAGCAGAAGCACCAGGCGAACATGCACCAGTTCCCCGAGAAGCCGACATAGGCGTCCACGCTGGCTACCAGCGAGAAGGCCACGCAGGTGGAAAGCAGCTGGAGCAGGCGGAGCAGGCCCAGGGGCTGGTAGAGCGACCGAGGCGACCCCAGGACGGTCGGGGAGGCCGAGGAGGACGTGGTCGTGATGGTCGTGCGGGTCACCGTCACCGGCATGGCTGCAAGGAGAACAGAAGGCGTCCTAAGCAGGTTCCAGCCAGGAGAATTCAGGCCCCTAGCTTCTGCCGGCCCTGGGCGGGGGAGGGGTAGTGCGGTGGACAAAGGAACCCGGACTGCAGCTGGGGGGTATCCCTGAGGCAGGCCTTTCAGTTGGTGAACCTGGTGGCAGCCTCCTCCTGTCCTCTGGCCTCAGGTGTCCCACCTCTCACGTCAGAGCCCAGAAGCTCTCTCCTTGTCAAGACACTCCCTTCTGCCCCAACTGGTTTGGCTCAGTGGATAGAGCGTCGGCCTGCAGACTCAAGGGTCCCAGGTTCGATTCCAGTCAAGGGTATGTACCTTGGTTGCAGGCACATCCCCAGTAGGGAGAGTGCAGGAGGCAGCTGATCGATGTTTCTCTCTCATCGATGTTTCTAACTCTCTATCCCTCTCCCTTCCTCTCTGTAAAAAAATAAAATATATTTTTAAAAAAAAGACACTCCCTTCCTCTCCCTGGGACCCACCCCCTGTGAAAACACAGAGCTCTGGGGGATGGAGGGAAGGTCGGAGAAGGTAAAGGGTGGATAAATGATAATGGAAGGAAATGATGTGGGGTGGTGTAATAAACACACAACACAATCTATATAT